CCCCTTTGACATCACTTCCTGTTACTTCACATGCAAATATCTCAACAACTGTTCATCTCAACAGTGTAAAATTATTTTTACAATATGATGTCAGTGTTATCCTTCCAAAAATGCATTCATGTTTATTGCAAAAAAATTTGATGTCGCAGACACTTTAATGAAACTAACTGGATAAACGTATAAACATCTTCAATGGGTCGCTCACTAAAAGGTGGTTTTTTTTTTTTTTGCTGTTTTCTCGCTGCAGAAATGTTTGCGGTTCAACCCGGACGCCACGGTGTGGAAGGCCAAGCAGCAGGTGCTCTGCTCCCTGACCGAGTCGCTGCGGGACGTCCTGAACTACGGCCTCTTCCAGCCCGCCACGGACGGACACGACGCCAAGTTCCTGGAGGAGGAGAGGCTGCTCAGAGAGTACCCACAATCCTTTGAGAAAGGGGTGCCGTACCTGGAGGTACAGGGCAGATCGTTTTGTTTTTAACGCCGACATTTTCTCAGTCATTCCTCTGAACCGACTGCTTTATTTCCTTTTTATTATTAAAGCAAAAACGGAAATTAAAAAACAYGTCTACAGGCATCTAGGCTGAAAGCTGAGAGAATTCAGGGCAGAGGAGTYGGAATTAATCCTCGTGTCTTTTTCTTTTTTCTTCTTTTGTTCTGGTTTTAGTTCCGTTATAAAACCAGGGTTTACAAACAGACRAATCTGGATGAGAAGCAGCTGGCCAAACTGCACACCAAGGTGACGAGACGTTTGCTACATGTGTAATAACTCCAACATGTTCTCCTTTTTAGTTTGGATTTTCTGTTGTCTTATTTTTWWTTTTATTTTTTTCAGGCCAGCCTGAAGAAATTCATGGATTACATCCAAACCAGCGCCGTGGACAAGATGGCCAAGTTCTTGGACAAGGGTCTGGATCCAAACTACCAGGACCCTGACACTGGGGGTGAGGAGAGCTACAGATCTGACATTTAGCACTTTTATCCTTTACCTGAATTTCAAAGAGAATCARTGAAGCGGTTTTCTCAGGGAGCTAACGAAGACAAAATGATTAATTATTTTTTGCTGAAATGTTTTCTCAGTTGTGTTTTCCAACATTAACGGCACAATAAGGCCGCAGATTCTGGTCCAGAGAAATGTTAAAGTAAACAAATCGATGAAAAAGTTTTGATTCAGTGTGAAGATTTGGATAAAAATAACAGGATTAGATGCCAAACTTGATCTGTTAAGTGGCTCTTTTTGCTCCTGCTGGATCGGAGTGACTCAGGTGTCCTCAGGTGACCCTGGTCCACATCAGTCAAACTAATCGGTCCTCGATTAGGACCAGAGGAGCGAGCCCGAAGCTGCAGCTTGTTTTCAGCCGACTCGTGGCTGTTTCAGCTCGTCCCGTAACGTGTTTGCAAGCAGCGAAGCTGCCCTTCTGTTCCCGGCGCTCGTGTCRTCCCGACAGTTTGCGGAGGATCTGGGCCGCTCGCGGGCTTTCCTCGGATCCTGTTGTTGTTGTTGTTTCACGAGGCGCAGCAGACGGCTCGTTTACAGCTCGCGTGTGTTGCTCCATGTCACTCCAGCCGTCGTGGGAGCAAGTGTCAAAACACCAAACGCAGCCGGAGATCAGGGGTGTGAGACGCGCTGCTGCTGCAGGACACACGGGGGCGCCAGAGGGTCCCCATCAGACAGAAACATGGAACTAAAATACTCTTTATTTTATTCAACCTTTTATTCACATAGCTCTGATTCATTAATAACTCTCCCAGCAAATGCACTTTTCTTTCAAAAACAAAATTTAAAAGGAATTAATTAATATTCTCTGTTTTATTTGTGGTTTTATGATGTAAGTTTAGAGGTGATGTTTTAATGCAGGGCTGAAAGCTACACAACYAAAAACATTTTTCTTCTAGAGTTTGAGACGTTTTCTCACTTTTGAAAAAAGTCCTCTAAACAAATCTGCAAAACAAATCTGCAAAWCTTTTAAAGAAACGTCTTGTTTCCTTATTGTAAGGTTTTAAGCTTAACTTTTTAGAAAAACAGTAAAAAAAAGAGCAGAAATTATAGCTCGATTAGCAGAAAAAAGCTAAAACAGCTTAATATAGCAGAAAGCAACTTTAAGAAGCATAAATAGCAAAAATTAGCATAAAAAGAAGAAGAATAGCAGAAATAAGCAGAATTATAGCTAAATAAACATAAAAAAGATAAAATTAGCATAAAAAGCTAAAGGTAGGCCTATAAGACAAAAGTTAAAATTAGCACCCAGATGGTGAAAGTGCTGTAAAAAGTTTACAGTTAGCTGAAATAAAGCATACAAGTTCAAAAAAGTAATATTTGTAGGTAAATAGCTAAAACATCTGAATTTTTCTGGAAAACAGCTAAAAAGTAGATGGAATTTTTTTAATCAGCATATGGAAGCATAAAGAGCACAACTTGACTGAACTTAGCTTAGTTAAGCTACGAAAAATATGTATTTAGCTTAAAAACGTTAACGTTAACTAATAACAGCTGAACATTAGCTAAAATTGCAGCAAAAAGCTGAATCTAGCAGAAAGCATCTGCCAGAAGCATAAACAGCAAAAAAGCAGCAGAAAGAAGCAGAATTATAGCTGAAATTGCAGAAAAAAAGCTAAAATTAACAAATAAAAATGGCTAAAGCTAGCATAAGGAGGTGACAAAGAGCAGAACCAGAACAAAATGTGTGGTTCTGTAAAGATTTAGAAACATTTTGAAGGATTTTAAGGATCTTAGAAACAGCTTCGTTCATTTTCAGCGGCAAAATAGTGGCCGAAAAAGTGAAAAAGCTGAAAAGACTGAAAGTCGTAGCGCCCTTGGCATAAATGAGCTGAATGTTTTGATAAATGAGTTGTTGAAAAAGCACAAAAATTGTGGGACGTGCTGAAGAACTAATAGTAAAATTAACACAAAAACRATAATGTGAAGCATTCACACAATTAGCAAAATTAAGGACATTAAAAATTAATAAATGTCTGACGAGGTGTTAATTTCAACAACTACCTGTGTTACGTCTCCTAAATATCCTGTCCTTATAATAATAATGAAATCACTTTTTGTCTTGGGTTAGGCTTAAAAAACTAATAATTTTACAGGTCAGCGCTTTTATTGAGGCAAACAAGTAACTGTATCCAGTAACTGTAATAAAACTACACTTACTGTAAAAGTTCAGTAAGAAAATTAAATATTATTAATCTATTGCTGCTGCTCTTGAGTTTTTATTTGAGATCTTATTGATCAGAGAAAATTCCAATAATTACAGACTGACACGTTGTTGTGTGGTGTTGTGTGGTAAAGAGCTTCTGTGTCTGATACAGGAAGAAAAGTGTGTGATGAAGATGTTGTTAACTAACAGAGCTGTGTGTGCTCAGAGACTCCGCTGTCGCTGGCAGTGCAGTGTGAGCCAGGTGGAGGGGAGGCCATCCGGGTCCTGGTGGATGGAGGGGCTCACATTGACTTCCGTGCCAAAGATGGACTCACACCGCTACACAAGGCTGTTCGAGGGCACCGCCACACGGCCCTGCTGGTAAACACTTACACGACACACTCCTGTCTTTTTATAGAACTCTGATCCCTAACAAACAACTGTAACAAATAACTAACAACCAGCAAATAACTAACAAATAACTGTAACAAATAACTAACAAATAACTGTAACACATAACTGTAACAAAAGACTGTAACACATAATTGTAACACATAACTGCAACACATAACTGTAACAAATAACTGTAACAAAAGACTGTAACACATAACTGTAACACATAACTGTAACAAATAACTGTAACACATAACTGTAACAAATAACTGTAACAAAAGACTGTAACACATAACTGTAACAAATAACTGTAACACATAACTGTAACAAAAGACTGTAACACATAACTGTAACACATAACTGACAAAAGACTGTAACACATAACTGTAACACATAACTGTAACAAATAACTGTAACACAACTGCAACAAATACCTGTAACAAAAGACTGTAACACATAACTGTAACACATAACTGTAACACATAACTGTAACAAAAAACTAACACATAACTGCAACAAATACCTGTAACACATAACTGTAACAAATAACTGTAACACATAACTGCAACAAATAACTGTA